CAGAAACCGAAGGTTCTATCTGCCCTATCGAAATCGTAGGATTTTTCAGAGTCATTATTAAGATACTCAAAGAATAGTATTCGAAAAGGCTTGACATGATGTGAAACTCAAAATATTTGACGTCGAATTTCTCAAAACTTGGCACGTACTGAGCAGATAGAAGAACCTTGTAATTCTAAAATAGATATGTGTATGGGGTGTGCGTGCGTGTGTGTGAGAGTGTGTGTGTGTGTGTGTAGGCACGAATGTGTGTGTGTGTGTGTGTGTGTGTGTGTGTGTGTGTGTGTGTGTGTGTAGGCTACTGGTGTGGGGAAACATTGGCGCACCTTACTTGAAATAAGCGTTAAAACGTGACTTGAAAATTGTGCTAAACTGGATCGAAATTAATTGACGTAATTGCAAAGCATTGTGTGGAGAGAGAAAGCCAAGTGATCTGTGCCATGCCCCAGGTTCAGGGGGATTAAGTGATTACAACAAACAAGAAAACAGTTTTACGCCTGCCAAATCACTGTGAGGCAACTTTTCAAACGTTAATGTTGATGAGAAAATTGATAGAAAAGTTGGCTTGGGATAGTCTCTGAGTGGCCATTTCGAACATGTGCAAACATTTTGATTTGGGGTGATTTTTACAAAGTTTTGATGGTATTATTGTATGCAGACTGGCTGCTGACATGTAGCCATTTGCAGGGTAGTTAAGATGTATTTTTTACATACGCTCATATGACGTTATGCAGTTGCAAGCGCCGTAAAACACAAAAAATGAACCCTCAGAACATGATTCTCGTTGAGTTGATCTCTGTCTGGGGCGGCAGCTCAAGACGGGTTACCTGTGGGTCAAAGCTGGGGTACATACCACATTAAAATATGTTAATGAGAAAACGTAATACAGTCGTCCAGCGCTTTGTTATACAGATTTGGATTGAGATACTGTAGCTGGTTACTTCGACAAAAGTGCAAAAACTATTTCTATATTGGACCTCGAGTTTACTCCGCAGGTACTTGGGTAGACGTCATTCATTTGTATTAAAAGTCTGAATAGTAAGCAGCAAAACAAAATATAATCCTAGAGTGTATTAAAAGCTTTGAGTGAAAATATGCAACAGCTGGCAAAGGGGTAAAATTACAGAAACCTAATATTGCTTGCTTAGCCGGAGTCATTCCTTTGTGATAACTGTATATTGTAGTGAGTCTGCATCCGTTCTGCATCTGTCTGTACACCTGCCTGTCATTTTACTGTTTACTGTTTAGCACTTGGTTCTGATTCAAAACAATTTGTGAGGATGCATGTCACCTCAAGGTAAGGTCCTAAATTACGTCCGTGACTCGTTAATTATTATACATGAGGGATTGAAAGCCTAAATAGGACAGAAGTCGAGGCGTATCTTTTTGCGGCTCCAAAAGTCCAAAAAGATAGGTCGTTGTTATTATAAAAACGTGTCAAACGTCGACCTCAGGGTGTTTGAGATAAAATGTCATTAAATATTTGACTTAGCGTATGGTGAGTGCGCATCTCTAGCAGTTTCATTCTATCTGAATTAGAAAGGATTTGATTTGATTGATGGTTTATTGATTGTTTTGGGTCATCACAAGAAATACCAATCACCATAACGCACTGGTGCGTATTCAACGTAGTCCCACAAAAGATTAAATTAAGGATTTATAACGATATTTCCCTATTCGTGGACATTTTGGGGCTGTTATATTTTTAGGGGTTGGGGGTGCATATTTCAATATCGCTTGAAGTGGTGATGGTATAGTGTTCTCGGAGTTTTTTAAAATTTTGATTAATGTTAAGTTGGGAAACGGTCGTAATGAATTCTACTCTTCATTGCTTTGGTGAAAGTAACACGTATCGATCCTGCAGCGCTCCTGCAATAAATTTCACCACACAATAGCGAACATGCTGTTGTTCTAGTTATAACTTTTGGTGTTGCTTCTTAGTCTTTGTCGTGGTCGTTGTTGTGGTTGTTGTTGTCCTTATTGTTGTCTATGATGACGTCACCTTTGTTGTTTTCGCTGCTGTAGTTGCTCCTGCTGTTTTACTGCTAGCATCTTACACGCTTTTGTTCAAGACAGTATAATATACGTCGTATAAGACAGTATAATATTCGTCGTATAAGACAGTATAATATTCGTCGTATAAGACAGTATAATATTCGTCGTATAAGACAGTATAATATACGTCGTATAAGACAGTATAATATACGTCGTATAAGACAGTATAATATACGTCGTATAAGACAGTATAATATACGTCGTATAAGACAGTATAATATACGTCGTATAAGACAGTATAATATACGTCGTATAAGACAGTATAATATACGTCGTATAAGACAGTATAATATACGTCGTATAAGACAGTATAATATACGTCGTATAAGACAGTATAATATACGTCGTATAAGACAGTATAATATACGTCGTATAAGAATTTTCCCAACATGGGTTGTTGTGGGTTTTTTAACTCCCCATTCCACAATGTGAAAATTACATTCATCGATCGAGCGATCGTTGCACTCATAAATTCAGGCCAATACAAAGCGTGCGTGGGGTTACTAGGTCCATTCGTACTCATGTGAGACTATTACTGACCCGTGCAATCTTGGCATAATTCTGTGAAGTGTAGGCCTTTCGCGTGTAGAGAGCCAAGTTCGTGCGCAGCTGGGTCAAAACTGAATTCATTTATTCCTTGCCAAGCCACTGATGCTATCACAAAATTCGGCCACAGTTACATAGAGGCTAGAAATCGTCAGGGCAATATAATTATTCTAAAACGCATACATTGTTAGTTTAATTACTGGCAATGTACCATCTGTTTATGTTTATTTCATGGGGGATATTCCTTTTGGGTTTTTTCATAAACTCATGTATTGATTTGTTTTATTTATTTCATATTTTCTTCTCGCCGCTGAGGGTTTCGTTTTGTATTGAATTCTTTTCTGTGTCTTGTTCTATTTCTATTTACAGTTTTGGTGCTTTTATGAGAGCAAACGTGGAGACAAAAACAAAATTGTGGCCTCAGTGTGTACATGTGTATTTGTTAATGTATGTATGTATGTATGTATGTGTATGTATGTATGTATGTATGTATGTACGTATATGTATATATGTATGTATGTATGTATATATATGTATGTATGTATGTATGTATATGTATGTATGTATGTATGTATGTATGTATGTATGTATGTGTGTGTGTGTGTGTATGTATGTTTGTATGTATGTATGTCTATGTGTGTGGGTGTGTATCCACTCAACCCCAGCCCACCCCCTTTGATCCAAAATGTCCCTTTCGACGTTTCTAGTTTTCTACCTCAGAGAAGTGAAAAGTGCACCTTAAAAAAACTCTTATTGTGTTCTTTACCTACCATCTACATTTTTTTTCTATTCGTTTAAAATGAAATAAACAAGAGTTTTAAAAAAAGCCCAACTCCGAATTAAGTTTGAAATTGAAGTTAACACACGAGGAGCATGAAGCTCTTTCCTGATTATTCGAGGACAAGGGAAGAGGTGCTGGGGGATCCATGGCGTGAAATTGTTTATCGCTGAAGACACAGGACAGGCTCTTGGGAACAGAAAGGGGCCCTAAAATGGCAACAGCCTTTGTCATACGAACAGGACAACAGATCTGACGCACACCGCAAGTCCAACCGTAAAAAACAAAGTTCCCCGCTTGGACGTTCTCAAGGCAGAGCCTTTTATTGAGAACGTATTGAAGCTCAAAGGATTTAGTTAATTTAAAAATTGTTGGGTTACGCTTTTTTGTTCTCCAAAGGGACGTAGTTATGTGAAGAAAGTAATACCTGCTAGTGCTTTTGTCTCTGGAATTTAGCAGAACTAGTAATTAGCAGGGACCAGTTATGCATTGCAGTCATGGCCCCATACATGCATAATAAACTCATTTCCAGTGTTGCATGAACACCCTAGAGAGACTTTAACCCTAGCCGGTACTACAAAAGGCGTCCTCATGAACAGAAAGAAAAAATGCAAGTCTTAAGAAGAAAAATTAAGATTTGACAATGAAGTGGGGGGGGGGGGTTTGCATGTGCCTATGTACAGAGTTTCAGAAAAACTAATGATTTGATGTTTAGAATCTTGTGAGGAATCTGAGCTAGTTTAGACATGCCATAAGACATCCAAGTTGTCATATTATCAAGAACGTTGAAAAAACTTAAATTCTTAGTTGCTGGTTTTTCTTCTGGGAAAGGTTTCAGAGGTGAGATGAGAAAGAACAGCACACCTGCAAAGGCTTATGCTGAGACCTTTGGGGTCTGGGTAAGGTCATTGATTCGTATGCCAAACCACGACGATGCCAACTCACAAACTTTAACTCAGATTTTGTTTCATTCTGAAAAGAGACTTGGTATGTTTTCAATGAGCAAAGGGAACTTTATTTCCTTGCAAGATTTCTTTAACACTGAAAAATGACAGAGGAGTGTGGTGTGGCGCTTTGAATATGCTCATAGCTCAAACGCACACTTGTTTCCCATATATCAGCTTGATCAACACAACTTTGATCAAGGTAGATAAAAAACGTCACTGAAATTAAAAGCTTAGGTGAGAGGCATCTCATCATTCGCTCAATCGGCTCGAGCCGGGATACAACGACACGTTACCAGACGTTTTTGAAGTTAATTTGTCCTGGGAGTTTTCAAGGCTCAACTCTCTCCTGACTCAGCTCTATCGGAGATGAACACTTAATCGGATTTCCAGCCTCTTTGATAAGCCTACATTTTTAAAACGTGGACGAGACCGTATCGCAACATAACAAAGTGTCCCCAAAATGAGAATGCAGTCATTAGAGGGTAAACCTAGAAAACAAACTGGCTAACTTCAAGAAAATCGTCATAGGTTGTGTGAAATTATGAGCTACAGTACAAGCGTCTATATGTGTAATTCACTTCAGGCATATCATTCAATCGTTCTAAAAATATCAAACGACAACTGCAATCCCCAAGTCATTGTGCCTATGTCCAAGTGCTTTTCGCCAACATCTTTCCTTATGAATCTGGGATTTTTTTCTTTTCCAGATGACCCTGTGCGCACGGCTCGAGATCGTCACCTTCACCCTTGTAGCAGTTGTCTTAGCATGTACATATGGACTAAAAATAGACCTCTCCCGACTCGCCTTTCAGAGACCAAGCCTCTTTTCGAAAAGAACCGACTCAGGATGTTACGGTAAGACATAATTAACTTTCTTTGTTTGTGTGTCTGTCTATCACTCTCCATCTCTGTAGGTCTCTCTACCGTCTCTCTGAGCCTGTCTTTTTATCTGTGTTTATCTATCCATTCATTTGATGCTTAAATTAAGTAAAGTTCTTTGACTTTTTTTACTATTATTAATCCAACTCAGGGTTTCCTGGTATAAGATTTTTGTTCTCTTCTAATCACCTTTTCCCCTTTCTTTCTCCCATATGCCACTGTCTCATCCCCCCTCTCTCTCTCTTTCTCTCTCTCTCTCTCTCTCTCTCTCTCTCTCTCTCTCTCTCTCTCTCTCTGTGTCTCTCTCTCTCTCTGTGTCTGTCTGTGTGTGTGTGTGTGTGTGTGTGTGTGTGTGTGTGTGTGTGTGTGTTCCCCTCTTTTTCTCTCTGTCTGTCAGTCTGTCTGTCTCTCTCGCTCTCTCTCTCTCTGTGTCTCCCCCTCTTTCTCTCTCCTCCCTTCTCGTCATCTCTCTCTCTCTCTCTCTCTCTCTCTCTCTCTCTCTCTCTCTCTCTCTTTCATTCTCTCCCTCCCTCTTTCTCTTTCTCTCTCCGTCCCTCTCTTCACCTCGCTCTCTCTTTTTCTCTCTATCTCCCTCTGCACGTCTCTCGTTCCATCTCTCTTCATCTCTCTCTCTTCATCTTTCTCTCTCTTGCTCGCGCTGCTCAGTCTCCTAGAGGTATAATAACCAGTTGTTCCCTCGGGCCTAATTCCGGGTGTATTGGGATCACAGGCACTGCCCCACTAGAAGAAAGATGTTAATTTGCAGGATCCTGTTTCAGAATTACTGATTCCATTGCTTCCATCCGAGCCCGAAATGCCAAGCTTTTGTAAGCAAGTGTTCATGTTCTTTTTCCCCTCCCACCTCACCCAAAAGGTCCTTTCCTTTTAACTACGGCACTTTATATCTATCTTTCGATCTACCTTGTGTGTGCGAGTTTGTGTGTTTGTGTATATGTGTATGTGTGTCTGTGTGTGAGAGAGAAAGAGGGAGAGAGAGAGTATGTGTGTGTTCGTGTATGTGTGTATGTGTGTGTGTGTGTGTGTGTGTGTGTATGTATGTACGTTATGTATGTATGTATGTGTGAGAGAGAGAGAGAGAGAGAGAGAGAGAGAGAGACAGGTGGGTGGGAGAGAATGATTGAAAAAAGTTAACGGGGAAACACCATGGTAAAGCGGGATTTTTTACAGCCTCCAAGCGGAGAAATGAATGATGGTGATGGTGATGATGTATGTATGTATGTATGTGTATATGTACGTCATGTGTTTATTATGTATGTATGTATGTATGTATGTATGTATGTATGTATGTATGTATGTATGTATGTATGTATGTATGTATGTATGTATGTAATGTATGTATGTATGTATGTATGTATGTAATGTATGTATGTATGTATGTATGTAATGTATGTATGTATGTATGTATGTATGTATGTATGTATGTATGTATGTATGTATGTATGTATGTATGTATGTATGTATGTATGTATGTATGTATGTATGTATGTATGTATGTATGTATGTATGTATGTATGTTCCTTACGAAATGATCAAACACATGTATATACTTTAAAGGATAAAATAATCACAAGTTCAAAAGCTGCAGAACTAAAGCTAATTGTTTTAACTATGTTTTTGATACAAATCTAATTGCATTTCTTTACAAGCATTTATCAATCATGACCATTACACCCAATATGACAAAGAAAGTGTTCTCAAATTAAGTGAAAAAATTACCAGTTCTGACTAGAAAACATTTAATTGCAATGCCCTTGTGTTTGTTTAATTTGAGGGGTTAACAGTTGTGATAACTCGCCCTTGTGTTTGTTTAATTTGAGGGGTTAACAGTTGTGATAACTCACGAGACACTTTCGTATGTCATCGCGCACTACTTCTCTTATCGGCTGTTTACAGCCTCCTCCTTTTCAAAATGTTTCCTTTTTAGGTAGTCCTAAGAGTTTTACGGCGTTTGCAACTGCAGCAACTGCATACGGTCACTGAGTGGGCAGGAAACGTTAAATAGTTTCTGTTGGTAGGAAATTTTGAATTTTGCCCCGGTGGCGGCCGACGCCAACTCTTATCGATTTTGGACCTCCAAGGGATCTTGAACGTACGCAACTTGCACACGGGACCTCCGAGCTTGATAGCCCTTGTCCGAGAAGGCCAGGTGTAGATATTTTCTACCATAAAATCAGAGGTGTGGCTGAAAGACAGCAGTAGGAAGGGGCCAAGGAGTAGCAGTAGAAAGGCTGCAGAAAGAGTCAGGAGCTCAGAGGAGGGGACAAAGGAAGTGAGGGGGTGGGGCAGACAGTGGAGACAAAAATAGACGACAGAATATTGTTAGAGAAAGGGAAATGACGTGAAATGAGAAAATTTGTAGAAGAAAAGGTTTCGTCGCTACCCACGACCTATTGAATGAGAGACGAACACCTCAGCTTCTAGACCACGAGAGTCCCCCTCCTCATTTCTATGACAAGGATATAGATACTACAATATTTCATAATAACTACACATACGTGTGTATCTATTTGTTTGTGTGTTTGTGTGTATCTATCTTTGTGCATGTGAGGGTATCAATAAGTATACATAGGTTTGTGTGTGTGCGTGTGTGTTTATCTGTGTGTGTGTGCGCGCGCGCGTGTGCGTGTGTGTGTGCGTGAGCGTGAATGTCTAAATCATTCTTCAAAGGTATCAACAATAATACAATGCAATGCAAGGATGCCCCTGTGCGCATCTCTGTGTGAACAGGTCTTTATTCTCAAGTGTACCAGATGACCTATTCACATCTCATATTCGGGTATCTTAAACACGTGAGCTTAATGCACCACAAGAGAGACTCCGACTACCTACTTTTTGGGCTTCTACGTCCTTGTCGTCTGATAAATGATTGATTACTGAGAAAGTAATTTGAGCTAGTCGCAATTTTTCAGTGATAGGTTATAAGACCCTAGAAGTTATTAAAGTGTATTCTAGCCCTCCCCCTCTCTCCTGCCCCCCCCCCTCTCTATCTCTCTCTCTCTCTCTATCTATCTATCTATCTATATATCTCTTTCTCTCTCTCTCTCTCTCTCTCTCTCTCTCTCTCTCTCTCTCTCCTGCTCTCCCCCCCACCTCTCTCTCTCGCTCTTTTCTTTCTCTCTCATTGTTTCACATCATTCGGTTGAATCTTTAAACGTGTATCACCAGACACATTTACAGCACCTCTCCACTCGTATGCCAACTCCACAGCAATTTGCGACCTTACTTTATTTTCAAAGAGCATCTTTTAAAACTTTCTAATTTCCCACTTGCCTAATAACTGACTCATTATTAAGATCTACGACGAGTGTTTCCTGAGTTTTCTTCGCAGTAACCTACTGAATATCGATCACCATCTCCATAGCATCAGGACTATACTTGGAATAATTTAATAGTCGTTTTCCTTATTGTTATTACCGGGGAAACGGATTGCTGCAAAGGTAGAAGTGAGAAATGAGAAGATGAAAGCATATGGAGGTGAACAAAGAAGGGCACTGACGCTGGAAGTCAATACTCCATAATGTTGGCTGAGATCCAGAAATTAGTATGCCCATTTTGGTGACAATGCCAAAATAGCACAATTGGGGCATTCAAATGCCATTCCACCATTTATGTAAATATCAAACCACGGTTTCAATCCTCAATCTCCCTGTTCACACCTTGCCTTAAAAATCCATTTATCTCAAGCAAAGAAACTGGGCCATACTTTCATCTCTAGCATTACGGGTGTTACCTATCTTTCTTTCTTTTTTCTTATTATCTATCTATCTATCTATCTATCTATCTATCTATCTATCTATCTATCTATCTATCTATCTATCTATCTATCTATCTATCTATCTATCGATCGATCTATTTATCCTCTATATGTCTATAGACCTATGTTGTACATATTATAAAACAATAATGTATGTTTGTCCATCTGATTAGAGATGTATCTGTTAAATGATAGATTTAGCATGTGATATGTGATCTGTAAGTGACTTGAAAAGATAAATGTATAATTTGTGTTGTGGGGGGGGGGGGAGATGTTCTTGTTGTTTTTGTGTTGTTGTTGTTGTTATTGTTGTTGCTGTTGTTGTTGTTGTTGTTGTTGTTGTTGTTGTTTTGTCGGGGTTGGGGGTGGGAGGTTGTTTTTGTTTTTGCTCTTTTATTTGTTTGTTTGTATTTTGTTTCGTTTTGCTGGGGGGGGGGGTTGTTTGGTCTTTGGTTTTTTTTTGGTTTTTTGGGGGGTGAGGTCAACCCGAGCAAAGAAAGAAAGCAAGGATTTTTTCTGTACACCCATTCTATCCAGACTAGTTGTACACTCCTGAATTTTCCTGGATGTCTCCTATGACGCTTTTGAATACTGAATTTAAGAATACACCATGAATTAATATATTAATATCATGCGCATTACAAATAATGAAACCGAAATATTGTGATAACGTTTTTAGAACGATAAAATTTAGGTCAAGTTTGGGGAAACCTTCCCCTAAATCACTTTAATTGTGGGTTTATCTTGTGTTTAGCTGATATTTGTTGGTTTTAGCTTTCGTATGTACTATCCTGGCTATTGTGGGTCTATTAACTTTGGTTCAAGTTGCCAATACCTGGTTAGTTTTGATTAGTTTTATGGGTTCTGACCTACCAACAGTTGATAACGCAAATACCGGTTACAGAGTATTTTATTCTTAGATCATGTCACCTCAAGGCACGTGAACGTCTTTGTAATCATATATAAACGGATGGCGTGAGTCGCTTCGTTCTATCAGCCTGTGAGAGTTGTAGTTATCTGCAATTTGTCATCTTCTGGGCATTGTCTATATTCTCTTGTCAGCACGACGCAGTTTGGTCGCACGGTTGTCCAGTTAATTTCATTCTGAGCCGTGTTGCACTTAATTTTGGTTCAAAATCTCAATTAGACGTTCTTGAAAGTGGGTTTTTTAAGGAGTTTTCGAAGTCTATTTTTTCCTTCG